ACTTTACGTCTGTACGATATAAAGGTTACATCGCTGCGAGTGATAGGTGTTGGTCCGAGCTCTGGTGGATCATGGAGGCCGTTGAGGGCCACCAGAATGGATGGCAGTGCTTCGTGTATTGGCCACCGCTGGTTTCGACATTGTTGGGTTCCATCAGCAGTCAGCCTAATCAATAATCTAGCACGGTGTCATCATAATCGTCATCAGCCTTAATCTGTTCATTGACTGCAATTTTACCATGTAAACACTTTCCTTAACCTCCAGCTGTTGACATTTTTGTAATTGTCCGTTACTATTTCTAATTGTTCATATGTATGGCTTGGCTTGTAAGAGAAGTTTAATTTAAGTATACAGTTGTATTACTGCTTATTATTTTCCTCTTTATTGCTGTACTGAGCTGTCACATGCACGTAATACAGTACTGTAATTAGTCAACATACTAAACCTCAAATCCAGAGGTCGCCCGTTCCATCCCATCTCATGGCGCGGCAGCTGAATCCCCCCCTCCCCCCCACAGCGCCCGCGACGAGTGTGGAAGAGTAGACCAATCACTCCATATAGCTCCCTCTAGGAGAGGCCCTGTTGCCAGTAGTGGCATGAGCAAGCAATTTCAGGACTGGGCCTTTAGCCTTCATATATGCATATATGAAGTTACCATCATTTTGCCAGCCACCATTTCAATTCCACTAGAATCGATAATGACCGATTCCGAACTTTCGCAAACGGTAATGGCACGCCTGAACACGGTTAGCGGTTTCATAACAGTTGACGTTTAACAAGACCCCCGTGAGAATCAGGCACGCCAGGGGCTAATTCCCTTCGTGAATTGCTCCTGCAGCAAGTGACAAGAGGCGCAGGCAGCTGCTGTCTCAACCTTCACGGGCAGCGTCATGCACTGCGACCTTGCCTGCACACCCTGCAAATACTGGCAGCTGAATCGCTGTTGAACAAGATCAAGATGAAGATGCCATCATGCCACGACCACCGCACTTCAATGCAAACGCGTTCCACCCTCTGCAGCTACTGCACGGGTGACAAGCAGTGAGCTCCAAGATCTACCCTGACAGCCTCTCACTTAGACTCACATTGACCCATAGACTCACACAGAGACACACAGATCTGCCCTTACAGTCTCCCACCGTGTGGCCTGAGACTCACATACATAGACCCAGAGACTCACATTGACACCCATACATAGACCCAGAGACAGTCCTGGCTGTCTCCCACCATCTGCCTCCCAGGCCTTCTCTTCCCCTTGGTCAGCTGAATTGTGGAAACCACTCCAATGCCGGTCTCGGAAATAGGACGCACCCATTCTGTTACACACGGCCCCATCCAGTGCAACTGTTTATGCTGAATGTAAGTTGAATTTCTATCGCATCATAGGTACAGCAACTCACCTGCACCGCATTTTCTTCCGAACGTCTTGTATTTCTTATCCTGTCTTGCTACGGAGCTCCCAGCATCAGTCTCAGATAATTGTCCTCAATTACCAAATTGAACATTCGCTGTGGTATTTCAGAATGCTTCAAACGGCCAATCGGGAGACATCACTGGCCACTTGGCTGCGAGTGGCGTCCGCTGGCCCGACATGACATGGCGTGGAGTGGGGTTGATTGACTCAGCTACAATGTGGAGTGAGTGAAGTACCTCAAGGCTCCTGCATGTCCCGAGTTTCTCATCTACAGAGTCGAGGGAGGTGGGGTCATCTCCCTTATGACCAATTAATCAGTGTCGTGCAAAATATAGCAAACGAAATCAATATGCAGACAAAGCACGCCTCCTAATTATATCTGTCGAACATAATTCGGTTCATTTGAGTTAGGTCGTGTAGGGATGTTAATTTTAGCAAAAACAAAAAAATGCGTATTAAAAGTTGACATACCTACACATGTTGGTCATGAAAGCGCACGTTTAAGTATTATTTTACACAGCCCATTGACCACCTATGCCCTCCTGAGAGTACCATAATTTCAGCAGCATCGGTTTAAGCAAAACAAACTCTGGACCGGGTTCGACATTCAGTGTCTCATCAGCACCAAGAGTTCGGCTCCGCTTGAAGCAATGATGAATTGGACGTGGAATAATAATCTGGTATGCACGGCGGGACCATCACTTGCCATGTCACAACTACGAGGCCGGATGAGTGTTATGCCAGTCCTTTATTTAACGTATTCAGGAAAAATACATTAATCACATGCATTTTAATGGGATGTTGCTTTTAGCAGCATATTTACATTAATAAAAAACACTAAAATGGTCTTGAAATTTATCGCATGCCTATATACGTTCAATATAGTGTACGGTTTTTAACAATAAGTCAACTCTGGGACTACCCCTGATACTCAGACCACTAGTATGCTTACAGGGGATGAAGCAGTTTTTACACTGATGTAATTCATACATATGCCTATACACCCAAAGGGGCATAGCGCAACTCCTATAGGCAGGAGTGTGGAACCATGCATTTATATGTACTGTTTATTGTGTAATACATTCATATATATAGAGTACATGAACAGAAAATATGTACATTGTACATACTGTATGTACATACAGTATACTGGAGATACTGTACTGTATATACATCCAGTACCACACGGTACATTCAATACAGTATGTCCGCTTGCTAAACGTCTTACATTATTAGTAAAACAGTACCGACAAATACCATACACGCGGTGTGAATACGGTAAATGTTGTGTGCGTGTTGGTGCATATCTGTGGTGGAGCAGCCAGGTCCTGCTACCTCAAAGCAGCGGACGGTGATTGATGATCCATCACTCATCGATTCACGTCCAGTCTCTCGCTCACCGGCGATTCGTCACCTCCTCATCACTCTTTTACCGCCACTACCGTGGTTACCGCTCCCATGAGCTGGAGTCATTGATTCAGCCGCCCACGCTTGACTCTTTGTCGAGCCACACAACACCGTTTCATCTCATCCACATTGTTCAACCACTATACTGCAGGTCACCACAACAACATACTCACCCACCCCCTGGATCCACTCACGAACTCACTTAGCCACTCAATCACTTAGCCACTCACGCGTCACCCACTGACTCACCACACTTGTAGGTCAAATACTTCCCTTTCTGCTTCTTCCCTCGCACAGTTTTGGAATTCTCTCCTCCCATCATCTCCCTCCAAGCTCTTAAAATAATAACATTGTTAGCTGCAATAAACGTGTTAACCCTTGATCTATGGAAACTTTGACGGTGCTGTTTTTGCTGGAAACTTGACATTTTGGGCATTTGACGCCTGTGCTCAGAAACTACGTTTTAAAAAGTCTCAAAGTGTTCGTCATGAGCGGGTGACTGGTGCCATAGGTGCTACAGTATGTATCGGAGTACTGAACCGGCCCTTGTGAAATCCTAGGTACAAATCCCTAGCTCTACCCTGAGCTTAAACCAGTGGGAAGTTGAATTTATCTTATTTTGTCATTTAATGCAGTATAAATGCTAGTCAATCATTTCCCTGATCGAATGAGCATTGAGGCATTGGTGTTCATCTCATGTTTAAAAGCCCTGCAGAGCCAGTGGTGGAAATTCCACATTCCAACACGCTTGTTGACTTCCCCACAACGTGGACCTCATTCTTTTTTTTTATCAATCTTGATTTCAGGAGTTCAATTTCGACAACCTTAACCATTGCGAGCCGCTTGCTTGTACCACCGAGTCACCCACCCCCATGGCCAGTTCAAGAAATGGATATTATTATTCGTTTGCAGTGTCGGAATGCGTGCGGTCAAAAAAACATCGAAAATCAAAACTGCCAAGGAAGTGGGGTTGGGGTTGCCCTTCACGTCTCGTGCGTATCACCACAGCGCGCGTCGACGAGAAATGTACAAAAACAACAATTCCGCACTGCCAACACGATGCAAGAAGAGCACTGGGTCAATAATCGTGGCGAGATTTGACGGCACGTAGAAAAAAAGTCGCCTTGCAAAAGATGGGAGCGGGGGCACACAGTGCCGAAGGTCGACGATCTTTTCTTTTCCCAGTACCGTCAATCACGACACTCTGCCAAGTGTCGTTTTGTGCCTACAGAAGAAAACAAATCTACACGGCATTGTGTGCAACCCTATTATGCAAACGTGATGCGTGCATCATGCATCCATCAGTCTATCTACAAACACGCACTATAGAAACTATCAATACAGTTATACAGTGAATACGCATTGGATGCTATTATTACATGTACAGTTATTTACAAATACAAATTTGCGCGTCGGCTTTTTGTAAAAAAAAAATGCCTGGTTCTAGTGTAAGCGAGTTCCAAAAACGAGGAATATTTCAAAAAGCGTATACATTCGTTTAAACTAGGTGTGTACATTCCAATAAGGTAGATTAGTTGCATCGTATATGTAACAATCACTAAAATAATTCCAACGTCAGTTAAAAAGCCACTATCGCCAAATTTCTCCCGTCGATCAACAACTGGCCCGTTATTGCGCCAGAAGATCAACTCTAGCATGGTATAAAAGTGGAGCGTGGTGTGTGTCAGTTCCATTGTAATCCATGCCGTGTCTTCATTTCAAGTACATGACAGTCCTCTCCACCTGTTTCATTAGAAGAAGAAAAACACATTTCATATATTCCACTTAGAAAAATCTCTTGAGATGGAACATCTTGTTTGCAAGGGTGTCCAGGAATGCCAGGGATAGGCTCCACATCTTTTGAATTTCCACAGAATCCCAAAAACAGCTATTATGTCAAAGAACATTCACACACTGGCCTAAAGCCACACGAACTCTGGGCAGAGCTTGGGCCCCGACACCAGAGGCATTCTGTCACTCGACTTTCCGTAAAGTTCAACACGATACCGGCACCAGATCTCGGGCACGCCTCATTTCCTGCCACCCAGAACACGGATGCCAATTATCGGACTTTAATCAGGTCACACCAGGACAGGTGGCAACCCGAGTCAATGTCTGCGCTGTCTCTCCCCCACCGCTTGTCTCATTCGAGTGCCTTTTCCATGCCACGTCACATCCGTCTGCTCAGCACTTCCTCCGTCTTCACACGAGCAGTTGTTCTGCTGCACTGCGCCAGATGGTACACGGGGGGGCACTGGTGTGAACTGCAAAATGCCGACCGTCTCTGCTGTAAGAAGAACCCATGTTGTTGGGAAGACTGTAGCGCTGTGCAAAAATATTCACTTTCCCCCCCCCACTCCCCGAGGAAAAATAACATTTCGGTGGCACGTCACAACCTCTCTGCCGGCCCAAGCGCGTAAAGCCCTGGGTGTCTGTGCAAGCCAACATTAATTACAGAGATACCATCTTATGGATCCAATGTAGTGTTGCAATCGCCTGAACACTTTAACCGTGCAATCCCATTGGCTGGCCTTGAAACACACCCAGTTGCTCTGAGGACACATATCCACCCATGAGAGGGCTTCCTCTGCTCGTGCTGGCTGAGTGTGGATTGCAGGCCGTGTCGTAACACAACGGAATGGACGGCATCTCCTGGGCAACCCGTTGCTCATCAGCCGAGTTTCCTGGTTCGGCAGCCACTGCCGCCGCTGCCTCAGAGTGCAGAGGGATTTGCACGTACGGCAAGAGGGCAGAGGCCGAGGGCACGGCTGGGGCCATGGGTCCATGTTCTTCCGGTGAACCCTTCCCAGAGGGCACCGGCGGCTCACTCGCCGTCTTTTGGAGTAGGATGCTGCCGTCGGCCTTGATGTCGGTTACGTGCGCGTACACGTCCAGCAGTCCCGACCTCATGCCAACGGGCTCGTTCGCATTTTTCCCACTCGGATCTGTACATCGACCCACTGCCGACCTGTCCGCACTGCAGACGGCCACGGCTCCGAACCCACAGTGGCCCGATGGGCCTTGCTGAGGAGGTGCCACAAACTTGGGGCTCTCTCCAGCACCCAGCTCTCGGGTGAAGTCTGTCCCTGAAACCTGCTCACTGGACACGCCCGCATGCTTCGTCTTCTCCTGCGAAGGACCCTTCACCTGCACGGCAGTGAATGCGGTGGCAGTGGCCTTGACCCTCAGCAAGAGCATTGAGTCCAAGCCCAGTCTACTCGGCAAGTTGCCCACTCCCTTTCTTCCATCCGCGCTCGCAGAACTTTCATGTCCAGAGTCTAGCGCCTCCTCATCCTCCTCGTCCTCCTCGCTCTCCTCACCTCCTCTGACACGCCTCGCTTTTCCCAGGAGTCTTCCACCCTCTCCGGTCCCGCACTCCCCATTGGCGTCATGGCCTCTGCTCTCCCTGGTCCCTTCCAGCCCCACCTCGACGCACTCTGCCCATGAGTCGGTGTCCTCGCAGCGCGCAGGCGTGTAGCTGTGGAACAGTGCGAAGATCCCGTGCAGCTCCTCCGGCGGAGTTTTCTGCACGAACATTACAAAATAAACACGTAAACATGGGCAGCCCAATCACCAACATACTGCAGGTAATGAAACACACACTTCTGCCCATCTACTCATCGGCACACCCACTCAATCTCTCACACCAAACCACTTAATCACCACACTGCAAGTCACAACGATACAGATACTTACCCACTCGGTAACCAAACAACAACCGCCATTTGTCACTAAGTGGTGGTGACGTCACCACGATGCTTGTGCCAGGCGTTGTACACTTTAAGCCCACGTGAATTGTCCAAGGCTCACTGGCAGGAGGTTCGGTAACCCACTCATCTACTCACCTACACCCTGTCACCTACTCACTCACCCACTCACCCACTCAGTCACTCACCCATCCGCTCAACCGCGTGCAGTTTACAACGATACACCCACTCACTCACCTACTCATGCATGTGTAATAAAGGACTCGACCACGATGTCTGGCTTGGTGTCCTTTATTCGGTTCTTCTCTCTTAACCCGCACGGCTGTCCTTCTATAAGACTCTATACTGACACTGATACTGCTCTCCTGCAGTTTCTCCCCTCGTCGTTCTCTCAGCCTCTCTCTCCTCTCGTCGCTCTCGTAGCCTCTCCCTCACACACAGCCTCGCCGGCTGTGTTCCCCGCAGCTCCTCGTCCGCCTTCTCTCCAGCCGCCCCACCGCTGTCTTCTCTCGCAGCTCCGCTGGCTGCTCCCTTAGCTGGCCACCGCTGGCCGCCGCTGCCACCCCTTGGCTTTGCCCACGTGGCCTTACTCTGGTCCAGTCCCACTCGTTCTGCCTTCCTCTTCCGGTCTCCTCCCTTAAGAACCTTAACCTTTCCTCCCACGTCACCTAACTCCACCTCTCCGTGACGTCACATCCGGGAGGTCGCCCGCGCCCGCATTACACCACCCTCCCCCGCGGAGAAAAACCCAGCCGACCTCGGCTGAACAACACCAACAGTAATGCGGGCGAACCCGAGCGTAACACACCAAAGGACACCAAGCATGCAATATAACAGTAAGAACAATCAACACAACTCAACAATCAATAACGTAGCAGAAGCAGGCAATAAATACACAGTAAGAACAATACAACATAACAATCAACGAAACACAAGGGATTTAGAGCGTGTGCGGGTCGCCGGCCCGTCCCGGACGGTCGGCGGCCCATCCGCGGAACGGGAACGTGATTGAGTTTGAGGAGCGACAGGGTGAAATCCCCCTGTCGCTGTTGGAAGTCCACCAACGTCCCGTGTCCTTGAAGGATCAGTCTTGGGCTTGTCCCGCGGATGCGTCTGCAGCGGGGTCGGAAGGGCTGCAGGGCTCGAAGGACCCGCAGATCTGGCAGGCACCCTCCGAGCAGAGCGCCTCGTCCCCTCCGGTGTCAAGGCCGGCCTGCCTGGAACAGGTACGACAGGCGCTCTAGCAAGATCAATGGACGCAGGCGGGGGAGAGTCGGCAGCAACAGACCCCGGCAAGGCAACATTGGGAGATGATGCATCATGTAGGGGAGCAACATACGGTTTCAAGCGCGACGTGTGAACAAACCAGCGGCGAGAACCAATTTGAACACGCGCCGACTGAGGATTAGGAACCTCAATGAGGCGGACAGGCCCTCGCCAAGGTTTGTGAAATTTGGGAGAGGTACCCGGCCGCACCTGCGGGCAATGGAGCCAGGCCAGGTCCCCAACCTTCCAGGGGCACTCCCCTTTGGAACGCCGTGCGTACCTCTCATTTCGGGCCTGAGCTTTGGCCGTAGCCACACGGGCACTCTCCCGCGCCTCCGAGACCCGGCGAACAGTGTCCCGAATGTAGTCAGGAAGCGGTTTACAAGGTCCCCTCACACCGGTTCCCATCTGCACATCCATTGGCGGCACGTTTTCCCGACCATACATAAGGTAAAATGGCGAATAACCCGTAGCCGCATGAGGAGTCATCCTGTACGCCGAAAGCACCCCCGGGATGTGCAGGTCCCAATCCGATTGTTGCTCACTCACCGTGTGGCACAGCATGGCAGACAATGTCCGGTTTAGCCGCTCAACCATACCATCCGTTTGCGGATGGTATGGGGATGTCCGGACCTTCTTAGTCCCTAGGCCCGCGCATACTTCCGCCAATAATTTCGAAGAAAAATTTCGGCCCTGATCCGTAAGGAGTCTCTCCGGCGCACCCTTGTCCATAACATATCCGAACAAAAAGGCGTCGGTAATGGCCGCGGCCGATTGATCGGGCAACGGCCAGGCCATCGGCCAACGGGAGAGGTACTCAACCCCGACCAGCAAATATTTATTACCCCTCGCCGAAGGTGGGAAAGGTCCCAAAATGTCCAGTGCCACCAATTCATTGACCCGAGACACCCGAATTGACTGTAAGGGTGGCACATAAGGATGTTTAGGAGGCTTACGCCGGGCACAGTCAGGGCACGCGCGGACGTGCCCCACGACATCCGTCGACATGCCGTGCCAAAAATAATGACGTTGCAACGTCAACAAGGTCTTCTGCACACCCAGATGTAATAGCGTGTCACAATGGAGAGTTCTAATCAACTCGTATCGGAGGGACGCAGGCACCACTAGACGCCAGTGTTCCTGGAGACTTTCCCTCCACATAAGCAGACCATCTCGGACCGCGGTTTCCGGCGCACCCTCCGTAACCGGACCCCCAACCTCCACTTTGGATCGCTTCCGCAAGGACACTAACGACTCATCCATCATTTGCTCCCTTATCCAAACAGACCGTGGCAGATTCAAAACCCCATCAGTCGGCCCCGGTTCCACAGTAGCATCCGACTTCTCCACAGCCAATACCACCGGCTGAGGGGGGGGTAGGCTGGGCGCACATCTCTGCGTCCCCGACGCACATTTGCAAGGGGAGCGCTGCGGCAACCTAGAAAGTGCGTCTGCGTTCGCATGGCGCACCCCTTTACGATGGTGAATTTGAAATGAAAATTCTTGCAGCGTGTCCAACCAACGCGACAGCTGGCCGGAAGGTTGATCCATTTTAAGGGCATATTGCAAGGCCGCATGATCCGTACGTACGATAAAGGAACGGCCGTACAGGTACGGTCGAAACTGACGTAGGAAAAAAACAACGGCTAAGAGTTCCCTGCGAGTGACACAGTAGCGTGTTTCCGCGGGCGACAGGACCCGGCTACCATACGCAACGACGCGCTCTACGCCCCCTTTAGACTGAGACAACACCGCGCCAATACCTGTGTCGCTCGCATCCGTATCAAGAATGAACGGTTGATTGAAATCCGGATAATCCAATGTTGGGGCGGTAGCCAACAGATTACGCAGACTCTGAAAGGCCGCCTCTTCCGGCGGTCCCCACGCAAACTTACGTCCCTTACCCGTAAGGAGGTGCAAGGGCCTCGCGATGGTCGCAAAATTCGGTACAAATCTTCGATAATACGAGGCAAATCCCAGAAAGCGACGTACATCCCCCACGGTGACCGGAGTCGGCCAATCTCGGACGCACGCCGTTTTTTCCGGGTCCGTAGACACCCCCTCAGCACTCACGATGTGCCCCAAATAACGGACGGACCGTTGCAGTAGGTGACATTTCTTTGGTTTAAATTTCAAGTTCGCGGAGCGCATCCTCGCGAACACCGTCTCCAGCCGCCTTAAATGTTCATCAAATGTGCGGCTGAAGACGATGATATCGTCCAAATATATGAGACATGTCTCCCACTGCAACCCCGTCAAAACGAGTTCCATGAGCCTTTGAAATGTGGCAGGGGCCGCATTCAGCCCCATCGGAAGGCAGTTAAATTGAAACAACCCCTGCGGCGTACGGAATGCGGTCTTCTCCCGTGAGGGCTCGTCAAGGGGAAGCTGCCAAAATCCCGAAGAGAGGTCCAGTGTAGAGAAATACTTAGCCCCCGACAATGCGTCGAGGGAGTCGTCCATACGCGGCAGGGGATACGCATCTGCCACCGATATCTTATTCAATTTTCGAAAGTCAACACAGAATCGCAATTTGCCATCCTTTTTCTTAACCAAAACCACAGGCGCGCCCCATGGGCTGTTCGACGGCGATATAATATCCGCAGCCAACATATCCTCCACTGCCCCCCGAACGTGTTCTCGCTCGGCCGGACTCATTCGGTGCGAATTCAACCGAATAGGGGCAGCGTCGCCTGTAGCAATGTGATGGTGAAGCAATGAGGTGCGTCCCAAATCCAAATCATTGGAGCTAAACACATCGGAATACGTCAATAACAATTTATGAAGCGCACCCCGTTGATCCACAGACAGGGAAGAATTTCCGTCACATAAGCTAGCAATCCAGCGGTCATCCGAAGCCACAGGCTCGGAAACACCAGCAACCACTCCCTGGCTATGCGAACAATCGTGAGCCGTAAATGCCGTGGTGGCATGTGCCACAACCGTGCCGGCTGGGACACAGACATTTTCCGTACCCGCATTGAGCACCTGCAAAAACGGTAATTGATCTGGCCGGACGATGGTCTGCGCTCCGACCAGCGCCGATCCGGCCGTTATCGAGGCTGAAGGTGACAACAAGATCCCAACCGCTCCCAGCCGACCAGGCAGGGGCTTCCGATACCGCAGGGGAATAAGCATCTGTGAACCAGGTGGAATATCAACAGATGCCACGGATAGCGCCTGCACTTGTACGGCCGAAGCAGGTCGCCCCCAGGGCGACGGCAGAAACGAAATTTGACGGCCACCCGGCAGTTCAATACAATTCTCATTAATTTTGATCAAAATAGGCATCTTAGCCAGAAAATCAGTGCCCAATAAACAGGGAACTGCCAAGGATCTTGAAATCAACACAACGCCCGAGGCCGACACATCCCCAATAGATATTTTAGCGTCCACCTGGCCCACGATGCCCATACTACCCCCGTTCGCAGCGACGCACGACCCGTAAACCGGACGCACGGCCCCGGGTGGGATGCCTAACAGATGAAAAATGACATCCGAAATAATAGTCGCGGACGCCCCGGAATCGACCAAAATGCGCACGTCCACCCCTTGTATAGACCCCGGCACGGTGGACGAACCCGTAGCGGCCGCAACAACCCTCCGTGCCAATTTGCGCCACTGCGTCACAGAGCGACAAGGCCCCGTCGAAGGTCCCTCTTTAACAACAACACTATGACCGCACAACGAAGGTGATGGGTGAGGTGTAAAGCCTTGCCGGGTGTCTGGTGCGTGCCGACTTGCCTGTTTCGGTGGATCCTTGGGCGGCTTGGCCGGTAATGAGGCCTCCTGTTGTGGCGGACCCGGGATGCGGGCCCAGCAGTCCTTCGCGTAGTGGCCCTTCCGTCCGCAGCGGAAGCAATCGGCGTCGTTGCGCCGAAGCGCAGGCCTTGCATCGCGCCGCCCGCGTATCGGCGGTGCAGCACGAGAGGCCGGTCCACCGCGGCCTGACCATGGCACCGAGGCGGCCGTCAGCTCCTGAGGGCCCCGCTCATCCGGCACGTATACCGACTTCGTAGGGTCCCAACCCAGAGCGCCACCCTCCGCGACGGGCCCCCCTGTCCACGCCGTGACCTGTTTCCATCGTCGTAGGTTGAATTGTGCATCCAGACATTTCGCCGCCGCCCGGGAGGTGAGCTTCTCATGCCCGCACACCGGCATGGGAATCCCAAGATCCCGCGACAGCTCGAGCATCTTGCCCAAGATGAGAGGCTCGAGCAGGTCAGGTGTTGTATCTGGATACGCGGCCATAGCCAAATCAAGCACTGCACCCCTGTACGCCACAGGCGACTCCTCGGGCGCTCGTTGTCGTTGAGCGAATCGCCGATGCGCGTCGTCAGGTGGCTCGTAGGCGTCGGCCATTTCTTGAAAAACTCCATATAATGTCCTCTTCTTCTCGGCCTTAATGGAGCGAAAAAAACGAACAGATTCGTCGTCCAGAAGAGTCGGCAACACTTCCAAGGCCTCAGCATCGGTCCATCTCGCAGAACGGACCGCCGCTAAAAATCTGCAGGCGAAAGCGCTCCAGTCGCCCCCAATGGCGAATTCCTTGACCGTGGTGAGATGGCGACTCCGACTTCGCTTCACTCCGCCCTCCGCCGATGGTTCCTCCGGAGGCAAATTCAAAATGGCGTCGAATCGCGGCGTGGTCAAGATGGCGGATTCCCGCCGCGGCACGCGCAAGATGGCGGCCTCCTGCCGCGTGGCCCATGGCGCCGGGAGTGAAGAACCCGTGGCGGCCTGTGGAGCACTCTCCGCTCTCTCCGTCGCCGTGCTTGGGGTGACGAGATGACACACTTGGCCCAGGGCGTCCTTGAGAGTCTCCAGTTGCTCAGCCACCTGCAGCCATCGCCGATCAGCGTCTGATGGTGTCGGCGGCCCTGACACTGTGGCTACATCTTCCACTCCCGTCCCCGCACTCGTTTCAGCAGGGCTCTCCTCCACCACCCTGGCAGGATCCATGTTTGGAGGGAAGTCTTCGTCTTCGGACGAAGAAGCCGATGCCGGCGCTGGAACATTTTTCTTTCTCACTTGTTTCGACATGCCGTTGCACTTCCGACACCAATGTAATAAAGGACTCGACCACGATGTCTGGCTTGGTGTCCTTTATTCGGTTCTTCTCTCTTAACCCGCACGGCTGTCCTTCTATAAGACTCTATACTGACACTGATACTGCTCTCCTGCAGTTTCTCCCCTCGTCGTTCTCTCAGCCTCTCTCTCCTCTCGTCGCTCTCGTAGCCTCTCCCTCACACACAGCCTCGCCGGCTGTGTTCCCCGCAGCTCCTCGTCCGCCTTCTCTCCAGCCGCCCCACCGCTGTCTTCTCTCGCAGCTCCGCTGGCTGCTCCCTTAGCTGGCCACCGCTGGCCGCCGCTGCCACCCCTTGGCTTTGCCCACGTGGCCTTACTCTGGTCCAGTCCCACTCGTTCTGCCTTCCTCTTCCGGTCTCCTCCCTTAAGAACCTTAACCTTTCCTCCCACGTCACCTAACTCCACCTCTCCGTGACGTCACATCCGGGAGGTCGCCCGCGCCCGCATTACACATGTACACTCTCTCCCACCACACTGCAGGCCACAACACTTCTCTTTCTGCTTATTCCCTCGCACTGAAGCACTTTGGAATTCCCTCCCATCTCCTTGTTTCACGAGGAATAATAGCAATATTCAATTTTAAAAAACGTGTTACACTTATCTATTACAACTCTGAGAGTGATGTTTGCTACTCGGCTGCTTGACGTTTTGGACCTGCGTTAAACAAAAACTCTACAAAGCAAGATAATACTCAACAGTACTTCTCAGATTGTATAACTGTTTGCCAGGATATGATAACGATCCAATCTAGTTTAATTAAAAAAACAGTTTTGCCTGCGTTGAACCAATTGTTTAAGCAAACCAATCTACTAAAGCTTTCGTGACTGCAGGAATTAATATTCTTTGGGTCATTCGGTAAAGTCATAGAGATCGGTTAAAAGAAAATAACAAAATAAAAAACTACGACGTTTCGATCGCAACACAAACGGTGATAATCAGGAAAAGGGGGGGTTAGCTTCTAAAGACAACTGCTTATAAAGGTTTGAAATGGGCGTAGCCCAAATGTCAGCAGCCAATGCAATGCAAGTGGTGGGCCGAGAAGATGGGTACAAACTGAGCAATCATTGGACGGACGTTATTAACCAGTTTAAGTCATAACTGGCAGTGATGTTCCCAGCCTACCACCTTCTGATGTTAGTTGTTATTTTCGGCTCTCTGATTTTTTACATTAACAGATTAAACACAGCTACCTCGCGCGCCATCCTCGAGGCTTCTGCTTCACGATCTTCCATTAACATACTAATCTCTTATATGAATATAGCCACCTAGGCGCACTCGCCGTGAAGGATGCCTGGCAATCTTGCATTGACATGCTAATTTTTGCCTGCAGCCCTTTGATTGGTAGAAAGCCCACCACCGCCGCAGTCGCGGCCCACCACTTTGCTTGTTTTGAACCAATACTGCTGAAATGATGTACTCCCATATAGTTGCGTGTGGCTGATGGGATGTGTAAAAATAAACAATTAATATTTTTTTACGTGGAGGGAAAGACACAGGAAGGAAGGCCTATCGTCTGCTTATTGATTTCGTTTGCTTATGAGACAGGCTCCTTTGCTTCGTGGGTTTATTATAGCCCGGCAGCCACCTTGAGCAGGTCATGATCCATCCCTGTGATGCGTGGTCCTGGCACTGGCGGCAGAAATACTCTCTTGATCCTGCAATTAATAAGAATCGCCGGGGTCACATGGAGGACGTGTCAGTACACACTTAGCAGTATCACACGGATGCCGTTCAATAGAAACCACAACGAGGCACGGACACACTGGCCACGTAATATATTATCCATAGCAGAGATTTTTTTGGTTAATATATTGTTTATTGTACAACACATTCGTGTCGATTTTATGCCCATAGAAGCATTTAAGGCATACTTAGTTGCGTTCGTGATAAGGGCTACATCATTTGGAAATTACACTTGTGAACGTGAATTGGTGTACGTTACCTGCTATGACTCACGATTCAGAAACAACACACGTTGACAAAGACAATGGAAGAAAAGCTGAAGAGTGCGCAAAGAGCGTGGAGGGGTGCACCCTTGGAATTGACACCGAGATGGAAGCAAGAGGAACACGTGGATTATAAAACACACGCAGATAAGAGGCATCATATTGCCTAAAAAGAAAACTAAGTGGTGCCTGGGCAAGGCTTGGCACGGCTCGAAGGGATTTGGGCCGGTGGTAGAGACTGTTGATGAAGTGCTAGCAAAGAAGGGACTGCACCCTAGAGGACTTTCACCTAGGAGAAGGAGCGACAAAAGAATTTAAGTGTGCGGGCGCTTAGACTGTGCTCTGGGAAGTCGAGTGACCGAATGCCGCTGGTTTTGGAGCTCAAGCTCTGTCCAAAGTGCTTGCCGCTTGAATGTTCTATAGCATAATAGATTTTTGGGATATGGTGGAAAATAAAGAGATGTGGAGCCTATTCCTGGCATTCTGGATACCCTTGCACGACGGGTGGTGGTGGCGGCTTGGAGAGGCCTTCTTCCAACTCTGATGGTGTTAACGTTCGTATAAATACACTGCGAGATGGGTCGGCCCTGCAAGTCTGATACACTGGCCGACGCAGGACCAGACGTGGCACTGCCTCTACTACCTTTTGCGGGTGCCGATCAGGGTGACAAGGAACAGCAGCGTCACCATAGCACCCATTACGGCAGCCAGCAGTGTCACGCCAACAGCCCACTGTGCCACTGCAGACATTGGTGCACACACACACATGCACGAGATCCCCCGATTAGCCGTATAGACTGTAGGATCAAATGCTCTTTTACATTTGAATTTGTACCCACACCACAACACACTACGATTGTGTTTTCTGTGTCACGGCGGTGTACGTATTGATGACAAAAACACTACGAGCCGTCCGCTTCACAGTGGATGCTCAAGATCCCGCGACGTCATTCCAAGGAAAGTAGGCCAACGCAATTAACTCAATTGGTAACACACGTAGCAGCAATTGTTGCTCCCTTACTGCGAAAACCTAGCACGACCCTTCCGAAATAGTCTTGAGGCTCAACGAGGATGTTCTGGGTAATCAAGGGCCATGATAATTCGCCATAAGGTGAAGAACAAATTAAATACTCTTGCAATGCTCCCATGTATCAGAAAACAACCGTGGAAAAAATATCTTGTGGGATTTTTTTTTAAGTATAGCCATCAAGTGGCCTTAAAAAAAAAACATTTCCCACTATAGGGGGTGGGGTCGTACAATTCCCATTCACTGTGCTGTGAGATCAACACGTTTGAACCGATGTCAGAGCAGGAAATTAATAAAATTAAGTGAAAGACAAAACGGAGTATGGTGGTTGTCTTGTTCAGTTGTTGACACCTTGAGCCAACCGGCCATCTCTTAGTCACAGCCAAAGACAAAGGTCTGCCGTGTAGCCTTCAACAGACTGTTGAGGCAAATTCTGTTAGCGTATACGAATGCACACGAAGGGGGTGGACGGCTGTTGTTGACACTCTGCACCAGGTACTCATTTGAGGCCGAGTCAACCTAGGGGAAGCCCAGGACCAGTTGATATAACCATCACCGATGTTGGCTGTGAGCGGGAATCGAACTGGGCTCATCGGGTTGGAAGCACAGTACACTAACCACAACAACACTAGCGACCCCTATATTTCATGGGCCATATATACACGAAGATTTGTTTACATAATTATATTTACACTCCTTTACCCAGGAAAGCCTCATGGAGTCTCAATACTGTTGCAGGGGGGGGGGTGGTCCTGCTAGGTTTTCCCAGTAGGGGGACAACAATTGCTAGGTGCGTTTTCCAAATATAATTTGCGGAAGAAATTTTTTTAAATTTGACCATGTGGCCTATGTCTTCCGAATGACGTCATGGGATCTTTAACGTCCCACTGACAGTGAAGCATATGGACGCAGCAGGGTTATAATTAACACGTCCACAGTATTAGCCAGGGCAGCCTGCTGGATTCAAATCGGAAGCCAGCATATCCAATTCCGAAAAAAATACGGCAAGGTCAACAACCCACAACACACATAATCTGCACTGGCACAGCCAGACAGCCCAGTGCTCGCACCGCTCACACCCGTGCATTGCCACATACATGGCATGAGTGACGCACCTTGGTTTATGCCGATGGGTGGCTGAATTTCAACCTCGGCGCTCCACGGGCTCCAGAATGGGGAGCTGGTGGCCCGGCAGCGCACGCGAATGTAGTATCGCTCTCCCGGTTTCAGCCCGTGCAGCACGAGCTCCGTGGTTTGTATGCCAAACGTTTTCTGGAAGGACACGTGCACACACACGGTATTCACGCCGACTCGCGCCCAGAGTCTTAAATCAAAGTGGATTTCCTGCTCAAATGAGCATTTAGGCGGTGCTCATCTCTGGTTTACAGCCTTGCAGAGCCAGTGGAAGGAATTCCAGAGTGGAGTAGTGAGAGACAAGAAGTAGAATGTGTAGTGAACTGCAGTGTGGTGGCAGAGTGGGTGAGTGAATTATTGTCTTTTTGTGTCCTGCAATGTGGTGGCTGAACACTGTGTGGATGAGATGACAGTCGGTAAAAAAATTTAAATTAATAAAAGTAAAATAAAATAAAAATCACGACGTTTCGGAGGCAACACAAGCTTCCGTCTTCAGGTGGTACCGCCACAGCCACGACAGCTGTATCAAGTAAATGAGAGATTACAGGAGATACCACTCCGTATATATAATGGTTGAGGGGGGGGCCAGGAATGGCCCACTTTTTATTATTATGGTAAGGTGCGGCTTGAGACTATGAATAGACTACATAACAAAAGACTGAGCCTTTATTATGGAGAGGTTCGGTTTGTGACTTCGCCTAGCCTACATAACAAAAGTGTGAAAAAAGAAAGCTAAACTTGGTAGAAAGCTAAACCTGGTTAAACAAAACTGGCTGTCTATCAGTAACCTGCAATAGTTTTCTGTCAAATAAGATGGTCCAAATAAGTGTAGTTAAATCTTTTTTTGCATGGTTAATCACATCTTTCCAATAATTAAATGTGCGGCTTGAGACTATGAATAGACTGCATAACAAAAGACTGAGCCTTTATTATGGAGAGGTTCGGTTTGTGACTACGCCTAGCCTACATAACAAAAGTGTGAAAAAAGAAAGCTAAACCTGGTAGAAAGCTAAACATGGTAAAACAAAACTGGCTGTCTATCAGTAACCTGTAATAGTTTTCTGTCAAATAAGATGGTCCAAATAAGTGTAGTTAAATCTTTTTTGCATGGTTAATCACATCTTTCCAATGATTACTCAGTTTGTAACCATCATCACGGTTGAAATTATGTCTGTGTTTGTATATTTGTATGGCTTCGTGAACAAACCTTTGATGGTAGCCAGGAGGTTTGCAGAGCACCTTGGTCTCGGAAAAGACAATTTCATGAGAGCTCACAGAGTTGTAGCAATGATCGGCAACGGCCGAAGAATCAGTTCTGCCGTGTTTCAGATCTGACTTGTGCTCGCGGACACGATCAGAAACATGACGTTTCGTTTCTCCAATGTAGCAATCATCACAACTGCAACTCAATTTGTAGACTCCAGGATACTGTAAGTCAGGAACGACATCCTTCACAGATGGAATCAGATCACGGATTTTATGCACTGTACTGAATCGGACTTGGATCTTATGTTTGTTTAGAATTTTGGAGATCTTTTTGGTCACGCCTGCTATGTATGGTAACGTGATAGTTTTGTTCGGAGTTTCATGTGGCTGTTTCTGTATGGTGGGAGAAACAGCTTGGCGGATGGTGCGGTCAGAGTATCCGTTCATCCTGAGGGCCCGATGTACGTCTTAATTCACCGGCCAGGTGGTGTTGGTCAGAAATGCCATGGGCTCTGTGATATAGCGTTTTGATGAGAGAATTATTTTGAGATGGGTGGTGGTGGGAATCCGGTTTCAAGTAGGAATCTGTGTGGGTGGCTTTCCTGTAGACAGAATGTGCCAAGGATCCGTCAGGTCTCCTCTCAAACAGAATATCCAAGAATGGTAGTTTACCATCTTTCTCCACTTCCATGGTGAATCTAATGGATGGGTGTCTAGAATTGATGTGGTCGAAGAAGTGGTTCAATGCTGGGAGGCCATGTGGCCAGGTATGACGAAAGTGTCATCCACATACCTCTTCCACAGGGAAGGACGCAGGGTGGATGTCTGGATGGCGTCTGATTCAAACTTTTCCATGAACATGTTGGCTATAACTGGTGACAAGGGGGAGCCCATAGGGATACCCTCATTCTGTTTGTAGAAGGTGCCATTCCAGGTAAAATAGGTGTTGGTGAGGCAATGCCTAACCAGCGCAGGTACATCAGAATTTAATCCATGTTGGACTAAGTCCTCAATTATTGTTAGGGTGTCTGGTACTGGGACTTTGGTAAACAAAGATACTACATCAAAACTGACGAGGATGTCATCAGGAGATAGTACCATGTCCTTAACCATAGAGACTAATTGGGTTGAGTTGAGTACTGCCGAAGAGGTCTTGCCTGTGAAAGGAAGCAGAGTATCTGATAGAAAACGGGCTAGTTTGTAGGTAGGAGAGTTTATCGTCGACACGATGGGTCGTAGCGGGGTGCCTTCTTTATGGATCTTGGGAAGACCATAGAGTCTGGGAGGTCTAGCCGCCGATGGTTTTAGGCGTAGTCACAAACCGAACCTCTCCATAATAAAGGCTCAGTCTTTTGTTATGCAGTCTATTCATAGTCTCAAGCCGCACCTTTAATCATTGGAAAGATGTGATTAACCATGCAAAAAAATATTTAACTACACTTATTTGGACCATCTTATTTGACAGAAAACTATTGCAGGTTACTGATGGACAGCCAGTTTTGTTTTACCAGGTTTATCTTTCTACCAGGTTTAGCTTTCTTTTTTCACACTTTTGTTATGTAGGCTAGGCGTAGTCACAAACCGAACCTCTCCATAATAAAGGCTCAGTCTTTTGTTATGCAGTCTATTCATAGTCTCAAGCCGCACCTTACCATAATAATAAAAAGTGGGCCATTCCTGGCCCTTCCCCCTCAACCATTATATATACGGAGTGGTATCTCCTGTAATCTCTCATTTACTTGATACAGCTGTCGGGCTGTGACGGTTCCACCTGAAGATGGAAGCATGTGTTGCCTCTGAAACCTCGTGATTTTTATTTTATTTTACTTTTATTAATTTTAATTTTTTTACCTACGTGACTTTACCGAAAAAACCTAAGAATATGAATCCTTGCAGTCACGAAAGCTTCAAATCTAGAATGACAGTCGGTGTCTGGTGGACCGAGTCCTCAACATGGGCGGAGGAATCCATTATGGAAGTTCATTAGAACAGTGACCATAGGGGTAGAGACAGAAGAGTGATACGCAGGTGACTGACTGCTGGTGAATGAGTGACTTGTGTGAATCAATGAGTGCTGGATCATCAACACACATGTCATCACGTGTTTGCTACGTATGTGTCACTTGACACCCTGAACACCCTTAAAAATGAGATTCTCTATCTAAAGGGATTATCCAGGCAAAATATTTTACTTTACAAGAAAGCAACATGCTCGTGATACATCTGTGAAAACAACGATTCGCTTTTAATTGAGACACCCTCCTTTACGCTGGGGCATCTCAGAGTGATTTACACGCGATCGGTGACTTACATCACACCTCATTTTAACACATTTCAAAGGGTACGCCCAGTAGCAACTGTCCCTGTGTGGCACAAAGTGACTCAGTACCTGGCCTGCAAGTGGGCATTGGTCTGCCAGTAGAGGGTGATGATTGTTGCTGTGCGTAATCTCAATTGAGACATTTTCTGATTTTTTTTTGCATTTGAAAAATATGAATCCTGACGCTGCCACATAAGGGCCTACTCTTTTGGAATGACGTCAGGGGATCCAAACTACTTATGGTTACCGGGTTGCAGTATTACCCAAGGCGGCCGTAGAACCTGAACCGTGAACCTCCGCTACTGCTGGGCTCTGTCACCGCCCCAGCGTGGAAGAGTAACCCAGATACCTTTTGTAGAGCCCACTCTCGTGGAGGGCCTTCTACCAGCTGTGGCACGAGCGAGCAAGTGCAGGGCGGCGCCTTTACCTTCGTATTGAGATGCGAGGGAAAACCAACGACTCGGTGACTTGGGCCGTCGTGCGGATTGTACGTTCGCGAATGGCCAATGGGTGCATTTGATACTGAAATTCGACTAGAAATGTTTATTGGTTCCTGACTTTCGGGACCGGTAACCGGTTCTGAGAGCGATCAGCAGATTACCGGTTATCGTTTAACAAGCATCGTATTTACGCGTGTGACGTGCATTGTAACAGCAACCGCATCAAAACAACAATAGGCTGATGTACACATCTCTCTCATGAATGAAAAATTTAAGACACAAGCCACAGTCGTGCGATAGTGCCCATGCAAACCAAACTATGAACAATAGAGTAAACCCATAGAGACACGTAGATACATAGAGACTCATAGCGATACATGTCGCGACATTAAAGACAAGCGATTGTGGCCATGCAGTCAAAATTATGTATCATAAATCACTGTGTGGTCTGCACTCTATCAACGGTGGAGGAAAACCAAAACTGCACAAACTCTCTCTCCCGAAGCCCTCTTGATGTGGCTTGCAGAACTCGCTTTGGCATTCAGCTCCTGTAACATAGTGCTGCCCTATGCAAGAATAGAATAGTATTGAGACGTTTGGAATAGAAGAGTGCCTGGTATTGAGATGGCCAGGACAGTTACATAAGATGGAAATTAATGGTGAGGAGCTGTTGTTGCTGTAGATTGGCAATTGCAAAAGAGGTTGTGGTGAAGAATTAGGCGTATTATTGTATTCTTTATATTGTCCTCAAAAGCACTGATTACTTTGTCTACGGGGAGGAATTTCACCTATCTGTCAGAGTTTTTAGCAGACAACGAGACAAGAAGTCACAGCTTCTCTTTTTTACCTATGTGACTTTACCGAAAAAACCTAAGAGTAATCCTTGCAGTCACGAAAGCTTCAAATCTAGAACTCTTATGTAATTCTAGGTCCCATGTCTAACAGAAAGAGGGTCCTCGCCTGTAAACATCTGTGAGTGCAGCAGTGTCGCATGAATAACTCTGCCGATGAGACACTGGATTCTCTAAACCGGTCCAAAGTTATGCTTGTGTTGAACCGGCACCACGAATGTGGTCCGCCCTTCCCAGAATGTTCATGTGGCCAACGGGTTGCAAAAAATATATACTTTTTTTACGTTGAGGGGCAGATACGTGAGGGAGGCATATTATCTG